TGATTCAGATTGAAGGCTTCCATTTATTTCGAGCAGACAGACCTCCAGGAAGGAATACTAAAGGTGGAGGCGTCATCACTTATGTGCGCCGGTCGTGGTTTAACTCCACCAAATGCATATTTACTCACTGCACAGAAAATATTTCTTGTATTTCTGTAGAATGTACACTACGCTTTCTCCTGCGTTACTCTTCAGTCATCTTTTCAAACCTATACATCACTCCTAACTGTACTCCTAGTGAGTTGTCTACCTTCCTGGATGTATTCTATCCAATCATGTTGGAAAAAATCTGTCACATCTGTATTCATCGTTGCTGGCGATCTCAACAGATCTGATGTGAGTTTTTACGCACTTATGTCTCTTTAGAATATTGTTACTTTTTCCACTCGAAATGATGCCTCCTTGTACCACTTTTTCGTTAACGAACTATCTTTCTTCCGTGCCTTCAAACATGCACCAGTAGGCAATTCCGATCACTGTCTGATCAAAGTTTTACCTACAATATATGGCAAATGCAAGCAACAAATTCTGATGAAGAACAATGCACATACGATACGTTTACGACAAAATCACCTGACCAATTTGATGGAGTTAAAATCCATGGTTGGCGGTACGGACTTATAACTACTCTTCGATCCTGATATTTCAGTCTTCTTTGAGAACCTTACCAATTACCTGAACTATTGTTATCATGTGTGCTGACCTCCGGAAAGGATTCATCTACAGCCCAACCGATTCACATCCGATAGACTGAAATGTGTACGAAGGTTGAAAGAAAGGACGTATCGCTCGAGAGATAAACTGACGGTTAAATCTGTCAACTTTCGCATCAGAAGCGAGATAGCACATCTCATTCAATTATACGCTGACACCCTGCTAGGAGACAAATCCTGCCATCAGCTTTGGAATTTGCTCTTTGGTCGTTCAAATTCACCTACTACGGTCTCATGTGATATCAATGAGCTCAACAAATCATTTGCTTCAGTGAAAACGTTGTGCAAGCTGACAAAGTATTGAAAATCGGTTCTCGTAGGTCGGGTGAACTGAATTCTATTTCGCCTGTTCGCCAAGCTTGGTAATTTGTTCGCAAACGTTTCATCACCAGCCGAGGTGACATCATTAGTGCTTGTGAAGTGGCCACTTCTTCTTCAGTATTTATTAAGACTTTTGAGCATATTATTATTAAGCACCTATCCTCTAATCTTGATTTTCGTGATTCCAATCAGTTTGTTTATTGTAAGCGTCGCTCTACTTTAGATGCGATTGCTTTTCTCATACAATTTATTTTATCTACCATAGACCAAAAACACAAAATTGTTCACGTTTGTTTCTTGGACTAAACAAACGCGTTTAACTCTGTCGACAGAAACATCCTATTGACACTGTTACAGCGAAATAATCTCCCGCCACATCTTTTGAATTGGACGCACGACTATTTTACCGACCGACGCCAATTCACTTGTCTCAATGGTATCAGGTCTTCTACTGTTACTGTAAACTCGGGTGTAATGCAGGGAGCAATTTTATTCCTTTTCTGTTCTCCTTTTATATCCAAAACTTGCCAGTCACCCCAAGTGTCTTCACTTTTAAATATGCCAATGATGTAGTAGTTGGTGGTGCATCTCACAACAACAACCCTTCAACTAACCCCCTTCAATCAGCCATAAATTCCATTTCTGAATGGTCCGATGGTGTTAACCTTTCTTTTAACCCCAATAAATGCATTGAAATTTCGTTTTCCATTGGCCGTAGGCCATCAACTCTTTCTGGATCATTTGTTCCCAATATCTTGACCTCAAATGATCCTATCACGTAGAACAAACATTTCTTATGGACAGAAATTTGACCTTTTATATTTCACACTTTCGGCGTCTGAGGGTGCCATTGTACATCATCTCCAAATTTGCTTTCTCATGCGTCTTGTGCCATTGAACCTACTGCTCTCCCGTTATCTTTCCCGGTCTACTGTCTGAGGATTTCATATTAATTAGCGCTCTCCGAAAAGAATCTCTAGATATGGAGCTGTATCCCATGATGAGCTGGTTGATTCCACTGTCAACCAACACCTGAATGTGTGTGACCGTCTGTGTGACTCCATCTTGTCCGATGCGTCACATCCCTTACACACAATCCTATCTAGCTCTATTTCAACTTCTGTAACCCGCAATAAATTTAAACCTTCATGTACGCGTGCCGCTGCTTTTCACAACTCCGTTGTGCCCTAGCTTTCACGTTTGTTGGTTTCAAGGGAGTGAATATCAAACGAGCTTATGCACAGTCTAATGTAAATTTCCTCGTTGACACTTTCCTTATTTTTTACGCGTTTTCGGTGTCCGATTTATTATCATCTCAGTAACTATTTGTCATATATTAAAGCTCATTTTTAACAGCGTGCAATGCCAAAGCAAAAGCGATAACATTCTTTTCACTGAAAATTCTGTCCACATTGGGTGAATAAAGTGCACTCTTGACTTGACTTGAGCTGACTTGAATAATGGCGATTTAACTGCACCACCGAAAAAAACATCCCATGAAATTGACAGGAGGATACGCTACCCCCTGGTTCATTTGGAGCTTCCATCGTAAAACAAATGAAGACCTTTTGGTTTGGAATTAGGCCAGAGGGCTATTGGATAAACGTGGTCCCAAAGTGAAGTGTTTGATTTTTTGCTAAGTGTGGATGGGGAAGCAGGCGGGTTGTACGATGAAAGTTCACATCCTGTAGGTTACCGCATCCCCAGTTCGAATATCGCCTATTTCTCCACACACACACACGCACACACACACAAGCAAAAAACAATGTATGGTAACATGTTCGACCGACAAACAGTCCACGCAAATTCAAGCGACTGAGCGTGAGCACGCATCTGGCTATGTTCGCGGTTGGGTAGGTGGAGGATGGGGTTAGCACGGAGGCACAGGAATGAATGAACGCAGATGCATGCTTAGTTTCTTCCACCATATACTAATGAAGATAACAACTTTGGTACAAAACTACCCAATTCATTGCTGCCACCGCTGCTACAAAGAACATGACAATCTAGTAAGACGATAAGAGCTGGTGTGAAGTAAACAAACAGCGGAACCGAGTGGTAGAAGAAAGGGGTTCAAACGATATGCATGCGTGTGTGTGTGTGTGTGTATGTGTGTCCGAGAGTGCATTGACGCATGGGAACGGGAGAGGGGAGAATGGGTGGAGCAAACCAGCGGGTTGAACAGTTGACGGTTGGGCAGGCTGAAGGAATGCGTCTTATCCACCTCGATTCTGCCGAGATTGCAGTCACGGAAGTTGTGCCTTGTTGGTAAGACGAGAGACAGCAAAAGATGTGTGCGAAATAGAGAGAGAGAGAGGGAGAGAGAGGGAAAAGCGAAATGTGATTGGGACTGAAGATAAAGAGGAATCGTGGAGTTGGAAATTTGGGGAGGAACGGAGGCAGTTGGGTGAGCCGAGAGAGAGAGAGAGAGAGAGAGAGAGCGAGAGAAAGAGGACTCGAGTCGAACGAAAAACGCCATTTAAGATGCGACGTTATCAATTTAATAGCAAGTTGTAAGTCGTTTTCCTCTTTCATCTCCGAAAAACTGCACTCAAGTTGATGGGAATCTATTCTGAGTGTACACACGCATCTCTGTCCGCACGTGAGACAATTAGGCGACAATTAATCTCTTTTCTCAAATCTTTCTCTTCGATGAACTAAAAGTACAGATCATTGTGGCA